CCCGCTGAGCTCCGAGCAGGACCTGGCCCAAGGCGAGGGCGCGCCCCGGATGGTGACTCCAGGTCTGTTGCGTGCCCAGAGCTGTCTCCTCCAGCTGTTTGGCTGAGAGTCTAACCCTGCAATTACTTGAGTCGGCCGAATCTCCCTCCCGCCCTGATCTGTAAAGTGAAAGCATGGAGAAAAGCATTCCTCTGAAAGGCAAAGGAGAGAAGAGCAGTGACTATGTGTGAAGAACCAGGTAAATGCCATCACCAAATGCCATCACCAGCCAGAGCTCCCGGCTGCTGAGTACTTTGTACAGGGTTCCCTGGTTTCAACTCCTGCTTTCCTTAAGCTTTCTGGATTCTCCGTGTACTTCTCTTCAAGTTATCTCTACTAGTTGCCTCTTTGGTTGGACCACCCACCACCAAAAACAAACTGTCTGGTGATTCTCTGGCTAAATTGAAAACAACAGGAAGGCAACATTCAGGAAAAAATTGACTAACCTCAAGAACTGTGCAGTGTATGCGTGTATAGTCCTGGACTAAAAGTTGGGCATGTAAAGATGGTATTGAAACCGGCCCAAAGGACCTTCAGGCTTTTGCCTGCCACCCTGAAGCCAAACACCGGACACAGGTGTTGATGGAAGGAAAGAGGTTTATTCAAGTGCTCATCACTGGAGAAAATGGGGGACTCTCATCTCCAAGCCCGTCTTAGCATCTCAGTGCAGGCAGGGGTTTTTATAGGTGGGCTGTTGAAAGAGGGGAACTAAGGAATTCTGGTGACCTGCAGTTTCACATTCCCACTCTCAGGTGGTTTTGATGTTCTCTTTGGTGTGTGTCAGAGTCTCTCATTTTTTCTCTCTGCAGGTTTTATTGCTGATATCTGGGGACACAATGTTTCAGACCTGGCTAGCCATCAACATTTGCTGGACTACTGTGATCAAGACCGGTGAAAAGGAGAACTGGAACTGCTACTACCTGTAACATGCTTAAATATGAAACTAATATTTTTAGACCAGTGATAGCGAACCTTTTGAGCTCGGTGTGTCAGCATTTTGAAAAACCCTAACTTAACTCTGGTGCCATGTCACATATAGAAGTTTTTTGATATTTGCAACCATAGTAAAACAAAGACTTATATTTTTGATATTTATTTTATATATTTAAATGCCATTTAACAAAGAAAAATCAACCAAAAAAATCAGTTCGCGTGTCACCTCTCACACACGTGTCATAGGTTCGCCATCACTGTTTTAGACTGTAAGTTTTGTTAGTCTATACCTTATACCCTGTTACAGTATGAGTTAATAATGTGTTAATAATTTGCTCTTCCATCCCCCCTTCTCATAGGAATGTGTCTTGTGACCTGGTTGAACTGTTTTTTTATAGAGAAGCAGCCAATAGTGACCCAGTGATACTCTTCACTGGCCAAACCACATCTGGAGTTCTTTATTCAGTTCTAGATTGAGCACTTTAAGAAGACCTCAAGGAAGTTGGAATTATTTCAGAGGAGAACAAAATGATGGAAAGAACTCAAAAGTACCACCAATGAAGAAGTAGTGATTGAACTTGGAAGGATTTTTATAGAAAGGAAAAAGCTACTGGGACTACCTCCAAATAAGTAAAGATTCATCAGATGACAGATTTGTTTCATGTGTTCTTAAAAAGTGCACACTTAAGAGAAACAAATTTCAGATCCTGAAAAGAAAATTACCTTCTAGCACTAGCCAGAAAAGTTGTGGCTTAGGGTGGGTGGAAGCCCTGACCATTGGATTTTACTTTAAGTAGATTCCTATGGTTTTTAAAGGGGAATGGGTACAGAGAAGCCATGCATCAAGAGAAGAATTAGTTGATGGGTTTTTTTTTAAAGCCATTTCCAGCCATAACCGGTTTGGCTCAGTGGATAGAGCATCGGCCTGCGGACTCAAGGGTCCCAGGTTCGATTCCGGTCAAGGGCATGTACATGCGGGCACATCCCCAGTAGGGGGTGTGCAAGAGGCAGCTGATCGATGTTTCTAACTCTCTATTCTCTCCCTTCCTCTCTGTAAAAAATATAATAATAAAGCCATTTCCAACCTTGAGATTCAATTAGTCTATAGTTTCAGCCTTAAAAAGAATTTACAGGTTAGCTATTAGATAAGACAAATGCATGAAAAGGTAAATAATGAAAGGAGGCCATATGATAATGAGCAGTACTAACAATAAATGCTAGTACATTTATTGTTCTCATTACAATTCCAGAGGCTTAAGGGAGAAGGAGGAAATGAAAGTAGACTATGTCTAGAACTGCCCTGTCCAGTAGAGTAGCCACTAGCCAAATATGGCTATTTACACTTGAAATGTGGCTAATCTGAATGGAGACATGCAGTAAATCTGAAATACACACCAGACTTTGAAGACTTAATTCAAAAAAATGTAAAATATCTTAATACTTATGCTGACTACATGTTAAAATAATGGCATATATTGGGTCAATATATTAAAATTAATTTCACCTGTTTATTTTTTTAATGTGCTTACTAGAAAATTTTAATATATGGCTTGAATCTTATTTCTATTAGACAGTTCTGGCCAAAGAAATATACTTAACTGAATTTATCAAAACTATCTATAAAGGAGAGTGAACTGAAAGACATTCTATCTACTAAAAACAAAGGAAAACCATATCAATGACCAATTCTTTTTATACATATACTGGAGGGCTGGTGCACGGAAATTCGTGCACAGGGGGTAGGGGGTCCCTCAGCGCGGCCTGCAACGACGCCAGCGTCCCTCGCCTCGGCCTCTGGTCCAAGGCCCCTCTCCTCCCTCCATGTGGCCGGGGCGGGGACACTGGGCTTGCGTCACCATGAGCCCACCATCCCTCGCCCTGGCCTCTGACCCGAGGCTCCTCCCCTCCCTCCATGTGGCCAGGTCGGGGACCCTCCACTCCCTCCGCGCGGCTGGGGCGCAGACGCTGGGCTCACATTGCTGGGGCAACACCACCAGTGACCCGCCCCGGACCACTATGGGTGCTGACATCTTTTTGTTGCAGAGTGACGGTTAATTTGCATATTACTCTTTTATTAGATAGGATGAACATAAAAAGAATCAACAGGCAAATCAGGGTAATCACCACTATGAAAAAGACAAAGAAAGGCAGGTAGAAAAACTAACTCTAAAGGACTCAAGTATAATTCTTGAGATAAAAGGACATTTGTAAAAAGCACTCCAATTTATAATTCTCCAGTATTAAAAATATATTACATCAGGGTACTTTGAAAAAGGAACAACCATAGAATGAAATAGAGTTCTGAAACACTTATAAAACATTATTACTTAAGTAAAACCAAAGAAATCTAGAACATAGCATACATAAACATAAAAGAAAATATGAGAAAAGATACATGGAGAGCCAATTCAGCAGACTTAACATTGAACTAGTGGAAGAATTTAAAAAAAAATTTGAGAAAAATATTTTTAATTATATGTTTAATTATAGGAGGCCTTTTTAGGATATAGAAGAAAAGTTTTCAAGTTTAGTAGACTGTAGGGTACCAGAAAATAGATTTAAAAAGACTCATACTCATTATGCTAAGTGATTTCACTCATATGTGGAATCTAATGAACAAAATTAACTAATAAGCAAAATCCAGATAGGTTGACAGCTGTCAGGGGTGTTTTGTCAGGAGTTCTATTACTATGGGAGATGAAGAGATATTTGGAGACAAGTTTTTTATCCAGGATGCTTTTTTCTTGCTCAATTAAAGCAAATTTACTGGTATTAAAAACCTAAGGAGAGCCTCTTCTCATTTCTTATCAGAATGAGTGGAATATCAAGAATAATTTTCTCTCTTTCAAGCACATAAGAGAGCTTGAAAGTAAGAGAGTAAAAAAATGGCAACATAAAATCTTGGATATTAATTATTTTAAGGATTAATTTTTCCTGAAGTTTAGACTGTTCTTAAGCATGTTTAATACAGTCAAATTGAAGATTTCATTCACTCTTCCCACAATAATTAAGCATATATCACATAACCCACACTTTACTATGCATTGTGGAACTTTAAAAAAAATATATGATCTCTAGTCTCAAGGAACTTAGAGGAACTTACAATTTGGGTGGGTGACAAATTTTTTTTAAATATACTTTTATTGATTTCAGAGAGGAAGGGAGAGGGAAAGAGAGATAAAAACATCAATGATGAGAGAGAATCATTGATCGGCTGCCTCCTGCACTCCTCACACTGGGAATTAAGCCCGCAACCTGGGCATGTGCCCTTGACCGCAATCAAACCCAGGACCCTTCATTCTGCAGGCCGATGCTCTATCCACTGAGCCAAACCAGTTAGGGCTGGGTGGGTGACAAATTTAACACAAAACTATTTGAGAACAATTAAGTGCTGAGTTGTGAGGTATATTATGAATCCCAAAAGTTGTCCAAAGTAAAGATAGGCCACTGCTGCATTCAGGAGATTAAAAACTTTTGTGCAAAAAGTGAACACTGAATTGGGCATAAAGAAGAGGTAGAATTTATATGCAAAATTATGAAGGGTTATTTGTAGGATTGATTCTAGAGAATAAGATACACTGAGTTTAAAGTCCGAGTTGTTGCTGGTGGTAGCCTAAAGGCTAAAAATGGCTGACTTGGTAGTTTATAAAGAGGTTTCATTTCTGGTTCTTGCTCGTCTATATTGTAACCACAAGTAGCAGCAGAATGCCTGACACATAGCAGATAGCAAATACTTGTTAAAGCAATACAAATTTTTGCACTCAATATTTCCTTTATTATGTGACTAAGAACTTTCATTTTTTTATTGAGGTATAGCTTTACAAAAATAGAGGTATACTAAAATGAGACTACTACCCAAATTAAGATATAGACCATTTCCAACACTCCATAATACTCCCTATGGCCTTCCCAATGAGCACTCAAATCTCCCCACCCCACCCCAGAACATTCCAAGATAGCCACTATTCTGACTTATATCAACAGTGATTAGTATTCTTGTTTTTCACATAAATAAAATCATAGTATGTCACCCAACATATTTTCATGTGGTTGACACCTGGCCTTACTTTACAACACTTGTTGATACTTGAAAGAGATACTTTTCCACCTTCTATTTAAAAAATATTTTCTTGTGGGAAAACCCCATAAAGGTGTTTATTGTAGAGTAATATACATTCAAGGTGTCATTGATCTTTAAACTTTAAAGACAGGTTGTGCTTACTTTGAGGGTAGGCAAGGTCATCATAAACTCCATCCTATACCTTTATAGTACAACTTGGTACTTCAAAAGTGGCAATCAGGTGAACTTGCTGTGACTCTTGCTCAAACAAACCTGAAAATTCCCTATGAAAAGTTTAGATCAACTGCAAAGTTAGAGGCACAATCCCTACCTTCACTTCTGACACTAACTGCAAGTTTGTGGAGGGATTTCCTAAAGCACCCCAGTAATTTGCTATAAAGACTCATGGAACTCACTGAAAGCTATTACACTCATGGTTCTGGCTTATTAAAGGGAAAGGATTCAGATTAAGGTCAGCCAAAGGAAGGCACACCTAGAGCAGAGTCTAGGAGGGCTTCAAATGCAGACCTTTATTTGTCTTCTAGCCATGGAATCATAATCATATTTATTATATTACTAGAGGCCCCGTGCACAAAAATTTGTGCACTCGGGGGGGAAGGGGGGGTCCCTCAGCCTGGCCTGTGCCCTCTTGCAGTCTGGGAAACCAGGGAATACACATAAATTATAGTGCAGATAAACTCTGGTATAGGGCCTAGGCCCTGTCTGATCTGAGTGTTTGCTCACTCAAACTGATTTATGTTTACTGCAGCCAACACAAGCCAGAGTGGAGAGAGTGGGCCTCCCTGGAGCAGGACCTGCAGAACATTAGAGTTGGGAGAGACCCTGGTGATCACTTAAACCCTTCTTAAGTTCTAGATGTTAATGAACATGACTAAGAAAATGGATCCATGCTCAAACATGTTTTCCAAGCAGGGAGTTCACACAGTTAAAGAAGCTCCTTTATTCATGGCTGGATTGTTGGAGTCTTTGATAGGATTTCTAAGAAAGGATTCCCCAGAATGATTTGGCTATAAAATGATTTTTTTAAAAGAATAGTTCATTGATTCTTCTTTAGAAATAGAGGAAAGGAGAAGAGAGAAACATTGATGTGAGAGCATAGCATTGATTGGCTGTTTCCTGCACGCCCCCTTCTGGGGGTCAAGTCTACAGCCCTGGCATGTGTCCTGACCAGGAATCCAACCTGCAACCTCTTGGTGCACAGAACTAAACCTAACCAACTAAGCCACACCGGCCAGGGAAAAATGATTTTTTTCCATAGGAGGCTGATTAAATCCTATTATATATTAATTATATTATATTATATTATATTAATTATATTATATTCCATCATTGAAGTGTGACAGTATGCACGGAATACTGCCTCTGATGGAGGCTCACGGAAGCTTGGTGACCAGTTTGGGGTGACTTCGTCATGTAGGTATGATTGATTACCCACTTGGTTCATCTCAGTTTCCAGGTCCACTGATACTGTGTGACTCAAAGCCCAAAATCACATTGTTGGTCTTTGGGGCTGGCTAGCCCAAAACCTAACAGTATATGGGTAAGTCAGCCCCCACAGTAAATCATGTTGTTAAATTACCCAGTATGATTCAAGGCCCTCAGTCAAACAGCAGATCCTATACGGCTGAGGGCAAGGGCCAGGCCTTCTCTTCGGCAAGCTCAAATCCTTTACTACATACCCCTTAAATCTTCACTTCTCTAACTGGAGAATTTGGTGTTTCCAAACCCTGCAATTAAATTATTTCTTTAAAAAAATTGTTTCTCAATTATCACTTTCATGAGTTTGTGTTTTTAAAAATTCTGAAGCATCTCAATGTATTTGACAAAAAAAAATTAAGA